ATATGTATGGACAAAATAGAAAAACCAGTAAAGAGTTTAAAAACCTTAAAAACAAAAAGAAATTCTGGAACTGAAAGGTATAAGAGCTGAGGTGAAACATTCACTACAGGAATTCAAAGGCATATTTAAACAGGCAGAGGAAAGAAGTAGCAAACCTGAAGATAGGGCAATGAAACTTTTCTAGTATGAGGAACAGAAAGAAAAATGATTGAAGATAAGTGGACAGACTTTAAACGGCCTGTTGCCACTATCAAGTGAACCAGCATACACATTGGTGGACTCTCAGAAGAAGAAAGAGGAAAGGGCAGAGAGAATATTTGAAGAAATGATAGATAAAAACTCCCCAAATTTGGTGAAAGATGGGAATATAAACATCTGATAAGCTCAGCAGGCTCAAAGTGGGCTGAACTCAAAGGATCCCACATTTAGACACCATGCAGTCAAACTGTAGGAAGCCAAAACAAAAAGGATTCTGAAAACGACAAGAGGGACTCATCACATACAAGAGCTCTTCAGTAAGGCTGTTAGCAGAAATCTCTTCAGAAAGTTTGATGGCAGAAGGCTGTGGACTGTTACATTTGGACTGCTAAAAGAGTGTTCATCAAGAATCCTGTATCTGAGAAAACTTTTAAAAGTGAGGGAGAAATTAAGATTTTCCCGGATGAACTAAAGTTGAGGGAGTTACCACTACACCTGCCCAATAACTCCAAGCTGTATAATCTCAGTAGAGGTACGAGTATGGATAATTATAAAAGCTTATGTTATCCTAACAATAGTGTTAGAATACTATTTGTTTCCTACATGATTTAAGAAACTAACACCATATTTTAAAAAAATCATTAGTATTAGTTTTGGTTTGTAATTCTATATTTTGTTTCTTGCATAATTTAATAGACTAATACAGTAAAATTATTTTTTGATACAAAATAACATTTACTTTACATATGAAAATTTTTTGTCACAGTTGTGACATCAACAGTTGGAAGACATGGGGACAGAGCTGTTAAAGCTGCAGAAGTTTTGGATATTACTGATGTTAAGCTGGTATAAATTCAAATTAGAAAAGTACAACTTCTGGATGTTAAATGAGGGACAGGTATGAGACACATAGAACACAAATGCGTAGAAAACCGAGGCATACTGAAAACAGTGACAGAATGAGCCCTTCCTAATCTCTAATTACTTTAAATGTAAATGGATCAAACTTTGCAGTCAGACATCAGGATGGATTTTTAAAAAATATGATCTAAACTACATTTTCTCTACAGAAAATATACTTTATATCCAAAGACACAGATAAGTTGAAGTGAAGTGGTAGAAAAGAATATTCTTTTTTTTTTTGGTTTTTCTCCTGTACCGGGAACCGAACTCACGACCTTGCACTTGCCAGGCAGGTGCTTTTGCCGCTGAGCTAAATCCCCAGCCCCGAAGAAAAGAATACTCTATGCAAATAGCACCGAATGGCTCAGCACTCCTACTTCTAGGTGTGTGTTCAGAAGAATTGAGGCAGGGTCTTGAAGAAGAGATATTTGTACACTCATGTTCACAGCAGCATTATTGACAATACCTAAAACTGTGAAATCAGTTTTAAGTGTGCACTGACAGGTGAATGGATAGACAAAATGGAATATTTCTCAACCTTAATGAGGATATTTATACACATGCTACGTTATGGATGAATCTTGACATTATATGAAGTGATACAGGCCAGTCACAAAAAGACAAATACTGTGTGATTCTATTTACATGAGGTATATTGAGAAATTCTAATCAAAGAGACAGAAAGTAGGATGGTGGTTTCGAGGAGCTAAGGGGAGGTGGCATAAGGAGTTACTGTTTTATAGGAATAGAGTTTGAATTTTATAAAATGAAGAGTTATGGATATGGACAGTGGTGATGGTTGCACAATGTGAATATACTTAATACTACTGAATTATACACTTAAAATTGGTTAAGATGAGCTAGATGTGGCGGCACGCTCCTGTAATCCCAGCACTTGGGAGGCTGAGGCAGGAAGATTGCTGTGAGTTGGAGGTTAGCCTGGGCTACATAGTTTAAGGCCAGCCTGAACTATAAAGCAAGTCCCTGTCTAAGAAAAGAAAAGGTAAGATGGTAATGCTAATTTTATGCTATATTTTACCATGATAAAAAAAAAATTGGAAAAAAGAATTTGTGAAACATCTATATCTCTTACTTGAGTCAGGGAAAGACTTATTCTTAGATGCTTATATTAGTATATATTATGCTTTGTTGTATCCCTCTATTTAATAAATGTTTTTCAGGGGCTGGGGATTTAGCTCAGCGGCAAAAGCGCCTGCCTGGCAAATGCAAGGTCATGAGTTCGGTTCCCGGTACCGGAGAAAAACCAAAAAAAAAAAAGTTTTTGGAAGACTGGATTTATTAGATGAATACATATGTGTGTCTTTGTTGTTTAGAAGAATTCTTTATACTTCACAAATTATGTAGTTGATGTCAGCGTAGTAAACACTTTCTTGGTGCCATGCATTGTTGGGAGAGCCCTCCTTGAGAGCACTGGAGAGAGTTTGCTGTGGAAATCCGAGTCTGCCTTGATCCATGTAGGGCAGTTATGGTGCACAGTGGCTAATCTGTACCAGTCTGTGTGTTTTATCTACATTTATGAGGTCTCTAAAGAATGACCAGGTAAGTATAACGTATGAGTTTTGCTTGGCATTTGAAAATTGAAATCAATAAATTATGATATAAACATAACTGCTTTTTTTCTTCTCTCCTTTTTTACACTTTAGGACCCAAAGTCATCCAGACTTCTGCAGCTAATTTTTCACTAAATAATAGCAAAAAGGTAAGGGTAGGGATAAGTGGGAGTTGGTGGGACATTGAGTTTCAGGTCACTAGGAAATGGTCCTGCTTAGAGGGTCTTGAAGATAGACTGGCTTTGCCTGCAACTTGTGTCTCAAGCAACACTTCATTCCCTTTGATGGTGCTGAGGATTGAACCCAGGCACTTGTGCATGCTAGGCAGTGTTCATCGCCGAGCCACACATCAAGCCCTGTACACATATTTTTTATTCCACTTTCTTTTTTTTTTTTTTTAATTATTCCACTTTCAGCTGCTGGCCTCTGGGTTCTTTGTTGCTAAAATTATCTTTTCTGCTGTAATAAATACCTAAGTACTTAGGAAATATGGGGGTGTTACCTCTAGGGAGTGGTAATTCACTTCCAAAGGGTGATTAACTCATCCAGATTCGTTGTATCTCTAAGTACTGTTAGTTTATAAGTTGTAACAGTGATTACTTAGGTATGTGAACCTTTCTTAGCATATTTGTCCAAACAGGTCTTGTCCTGTGGCATTTTTTAAAATCAGTAACAGTTCTCTTTAATTATTATTTTGTATTCCTTGCATGAACTCAATATAAACAAACCCTGCTTTTCCCCTTAAAAATGTACCTTGATTCTTCAACATTTTTAGAGAAAAACAGAGGACTTTTCGTTGGAGAATTTGGGTCTTTTTTAGTAAATACTAATTTGAGAGAGCTCCAACAACTATTTTATTTATCTGTGTGAAACATAATTCTTATCTATAAGCTGGACATAATTGTCCTGCATTTTCATGGACCGTAATATGTATAGTTTAAATCTCATTATTCGATCCCAAATTCCCTCCTCTCTGTTCTGCCACCTC